TCTTTTTTTAAAAGATATTTTAGGCATTAGGCAGTCCATTATAACCAGTATGCCGTAGTTAGGGTGCTCGACTCACAATATGTGGGTCGCAGGTTCGAATCCCGTCACCGAACATTCTAGCCCTTTCAGCCGTGGAAGCGTTGTAATGTATGAGTAAATCCCACTATTCGTTGGTAAAGAGTTGACGGTGTGTTATGTGTTGACTCCGTTTTGTCTGTCACTTAAGGACAGCAGACTAGTGCTTTACATTGAAACCACTATGCCGTAGTTAGGGTGCTCGACTCACAATATGTGGGTCGCAGGCTCGAATCCCGTCACCGAACATTCTAGCCCTTTCAGCAGTGGGAGCATTGTAATGTATGTGTAAATCCCACTATTCGTTGGTAAAGAGTTGACGGTGTGTTATGTGTTGACTCCGTTCTGTCTGTCACATAGGGACAGCAGACTAGTGCTTTACATTGTAATCTCAAAAAGTAAACAATCAAATTCAAGGTTTGAGACGTAATGTTGACATTATTTCTTCAAGCTACAAGTCCCTATTTTGATTCTCCTAAATATTACAGCTTTTAGACATGGAGTCAAAATAGGGATTTGTAGCTGGAGAAAATAATGTCAACACTATGTCTCAAACCTTAAGCTTGTTTGTTTACTTTTGACGAGATGGTATTTTTACTTTAAGCTACCTATCTTGTTTCTGTAGTTTTTGACGATCCTCATTCCCCCTTTTTAAATTAACAGTTTTTAATAATCTTGTAAGGAACGTTATTGTCCTGGTAATGATGTGGAATAAAACACATTGTTTATCTGTGCGAGTACTAAAGTAAAACACATGGCGCGACTAGAACATTGTGACTTTTGAGCGCGAGAGCGAGTGTAATAATTTATCATTGGGCGCGAATTCTAGAATATATGTAAACAATATGTATTTTTGAACGCGAGTTCTGTGATTGTTTGCGGATATATCAAATTGTTATTATGTACTTAATTCAGATTCTATTTAAAATAAAAAAATACTATTTACTAGTTTCACTTCAACGTTTACTTTACGATAGTGCCAGTGTACGTATAGCACAGTTTGAGCAGTCTTTTTGTTTATGTGTGTTTGTTTGTTTGAAGTTAAGCAAAAAACTACACAATGGGCTATCTGTGCTCTGCCCACCACGGGTATCGAAACCCGGCTTCTAGCGTCGTGAGTCCGCAGACATACCGCTGTGCCACTGAGGGGCTATTTTTGTGAGACGCGAAGATTGACAAATGTATCTATCAACTGTTAAATACTGTGTTAGGTTTAGACTTATTACTTTCCTCGCGAATAATCGAACGTTATCCAATCGTTTTTGGTTAGTCTTTCACTTACCAAAAACTGTATTGGTTTGGATCTTCTGAAGTTTATTAAATAAATCCTGTAATAACGTGAAATACTGAGTTGGAACAAGTTAACAATTTGTATTAATTCAAGATCTCTGCTTGCATCTCCCTCTATCGGCACATCTGTTCGTCTACTCTGTGTCTTAACCTTGTTTAAAATTCTCGAAGCGTATCTACATACATCGAAGTAAGGAAACTATCATTTCTAAATATATTAGTCGCCGTTTCAAAAAACCTCACAGTAACCTTAAAATAATGGATTAATTTTTAAAACAAAAGTATGAGAGCGATTTTAAGTTAGATAATGAGAAAACATGCATCTGTTACTAGACCTATATTTTATCTCTAAAACTAAGGATTATCTTTTATTAGAGTTGACTAACATTTTTTGTACTGTAAAACTTTGAACTTGACTAAACCGAGGAGTTTATTAAGTAAAAATTATTATGTCACGTGTGCCACTTTCGATAAGATGCATTGTGGTTAGTTGATCCGGTAGGGGTCTCTGCTTTTTCAATTATCTAACGAAAGTAATATACCTATGATAGTACTTAGGTATGCTTGTATGGGTTCTAAACCAATTGGCACCGTTGTAGAAGGAGTGATTTCTTCAGGTGTAACCTCAATGCATGATGGGTAAAAACGTGTACATTTATTCAGGTTGTTTTTTTTTTGTGTGTGGATTATTTTGAACAACGCCACTACATGTGACTGTTTCTTAACTGATAGAAGTGTCAATCTTGTGTCTGTAGAAATTGTAACAGTGACAGCGTGCATTGAAACAACTATCGAACCCACCTCCTTACTTATCAGCAAACATAATTACGGTTTTGAATCCCGCAAATTTTACAGTTGTTAAATATGCATTACCTGATCTCACCGTGAAGACCTCCAGTAAGTCAGCGGCAAGCCTGAAGACATAAAGCTAAGAACTGGGTTTAGATACTCCTTGTGTGCACGACACAGATAGGCCATTGTATACTTTTGTGCTTAAGAACAAACAAACTCACCGTCAACTCGACAACGCCCCAACATCAAGTTGTATTGTAGACACAACAAAACATTTCTTCGACAGTGATTACGATCTGGGCCCGGCATGGCCAGGTGGTTAGGATGCTCGACTCGCAATCCCCCGTCACACCAAACATGCTCGCCCTTTCAGCCGTGGGGGCGTTATAACGTGACGGTCAATCCCACTATTCGTTGGTAAAATAGTAGCCCAAGAGTTAACGGTGGGTGGTGATGACTAGTCTTTCACTGCTAAATTAGGGACGGCTGGCGCAGATAGCCCTCGTATACTTGAAACAAACAATTACGATCTGTTTTAATATATCGACAAATGTTGTATCTGGAACGTCAACTGTGATTTGGTAGCAAAACTTAGGTGTAAAACAGCCAAGAGTGTTTGACAACATAGCAGTAACTGCTTGGCACAGCTCTGTGTAAAATAGGCACGAGCACTTCGATACAGGAAGTTTAAGACAGTAACTGCTTGGCTCAGCTCTGTGTAAAACAGGCACGAGCACTTCGATACAGGAAGTTTAAGACAGTGGCTGCTTGTCATGGCTCTGTGTAAAATAGGCACGAGCACTTTGATACAGGAAGTTTAAGACAGTGGCTGCTTGTCATGGCTCTGTGTAAAATAGGCACGAGACACTTCGATACAGGAAGTTTAAGATAGTGGCTACTACTTGTCACGGCTCTCTGTGTAAAACAGGCACGAGCACTTCGATACAGGAAGTTTAAGACGGTGGCTGCTTGTCATGGCTCTGTGTAAAATAGGCACGAACACTTCGATACAGGAAGTTTAAGACGGTGGCTACTACTTGTCACGGCTCTGTGTAAAATAGGCACGAGCAATTCTTAGCAGGAAGTTTAAGATAG